GAGAGAATTAAAAAATCAGAGAAATCAAAAAGAGTTTGATTTTAAAGCTTTTTCTCCTTGGAAAAAACTTTATTCAGAGCAAAGAGGATATTCCCATTGGGATTTCACCAGATAAATTTTGCACTATGACAATACTAGTTTATATACAAAACAATCAAGTAGTCATTAGACAGGAATAAGCCGGACAACTTATGAAAGAATTTGTATGATAAGCACTGATTCGTTTTATTTTATTTCCTTTGTTATCTTTCTCTGTAATATATAGAGCTCGGATGAGTATTTATCTTAATAAAGAACAGTCGATAAATACATAGTTAAAGTTGAGTACTACGAATTATATTCTCATTTCATTGGATGCTGATCTGTTCAGTATTTACTGATATCCTGAAAGAATACAGATATCTGACACAAAATTGCCTTCCTTTGGCTCTCATTCATTATTTGTACGTGAGCAAAAAAGTAAAGAAGTTTTCTTTTTACAAAGACTTTCGCGACACAGATTCTTTGATTGTTACTTTTACAAATTGTTCAATTCAAGTGTAATTTCAACGAAATTATATTTTCGTTTTATTTGCTTCACTTTGAACGGTGTGTGGAGCAATGAGTACTTCTTCTTCATCTGGATATTCGGAGATAGATGAAAGATCAATTGCATAGCTCCCATGCGTCAATTTGTACTTGCATAGAGCTGATAGTTTACCATTCATTGGTATCGAAGCAAAACGTTAAGCAATAGTACGATTAGCTGATGTCGACATAAAAGCTTTGTTGACAATATTCTTGCCAACTTGGTAGTTTACAAGGTCGCTCTCCGTGATTCTCATTCCACGATAGCAGGTACCAGTCCATTCATCATCATTGTATTGATTTGTACATATGAAAATAGTAAAGATTGACACTCGCGTCATACTATCGTTCGTGTGCTGTTCTCTTGTTATATCGTTCTTCTAGTCATATTTTCATTTTTTCTCGAACGACTACCATCTTGTGATGGATAAATAATATGTTGATACTAACGAACACCATCACATGACGAAAGAAACGTATTGACATTCGTTTTCATTCAATCGCACTATTCAATACACTAAATAAACAACAATTTTATCCAACAAGAGCAACAAATTTGCCTTCCGTAGTAGTATTTACACATATTCTTCACAAAGTGACCAGCCATTACTACAGATCAAAGTGAGTCTGTATTCCCTGAAAAAAAGTAAAAAGTAAAATGTTTTTTTTTCTGTTACTTGTTATTCAAGTATATTTTTTAAAGTCATACTTCAAGGTTTTCAACGCAATTTATCCCATAGAAGTGTTCGAGTAAGCTGAATGTTGATTCAAGAAAAGATCAAAATGAATCATTATCACTTTGGACGACTACAACTTTCTTTAATATTCTTCCTTTTGAATAGATGATAGACGTGCAAATATGTGAACAATTGTGGGTTTATTATTCTTCTGAGATGTTATCACAATTTGTATTTATGATTAGAAACTTGTTTGGACTTGCTTTTCCATGCATTTTATCTTCTCTTTCGTATTTTCTTATCTATAATGCAGATGTGACCAAATGAAATGAAATATGTTTGATTTCTTTTGTTCATTGAACAAACCAATACTGAATTATTAATCTTAGTAGTAACAATAAAATAAGATGGGTACAGAGTCGACATGCTTTTCATGTCTGAGGTAACATAGTGAAAGCAGCATGTATTATATTATACTAACCACTTTACTATACTGCTTTGCTGACTTGTACTACATAAAAACACGAAAGAATCGATTGATTACTCTTAGATTTTATCGTTATTTAGTAACAGAAACTAGAATAGATTGCGTCTGCGATAATGAGTCAGCTGAGAGTTTAAAGAGAAAATAATTCATTTTTAATTTATTTAATAATATTCTCAATGTCCTAAAATCCGTCATTCAAAATGTGGAAGGTGTATGGGTGGGGATAAGAGTGGTCGACAGAGACTAAATAATCCCACATCCTCAAGATAACCGATCGGTACATAGCCCATCGTTTCCTTCATTCCATTCTTGGTAAAGCGTGTCACCAAGCGTACACATCTTCAGATAGATAGTTCTATAGTATGTCCGGAAGTTTACATCTGTGTACCATAGACACCGATGAATATGTTCAGATGAATTGATCTCAATTGATTCGTTGGTGACATCGACTGTTTCGAATTCAGAAGGAGGCGAGAGTTTATTATAATTATCATAAGTATTTTTAACATTCACAAGCATCGAAGCAGCATTGTATTCTTGATTCACGATTATTGAAATTAGAAAGCAATTGTGCAAATCTTAAAAGCTATTTTTAATCAAAAAGAGACAAATTTATTAGTAGACGAACCTTACCCACACCATATTTATTTTCATATTTGTGAACAAGAGTAAACTATTAAAGGTAAATAGAGACTGAATAATCAATTGACATATGACGCATATAAATAACATGACTCACATAGAATATCGCATATCACAAACGTAATTTCACTTCCTCTTTTTTCTTTACCTTATAATATCAGACATGTTGTTGTTTTAGTGTACATATTATAAATTAATAATCTACTGGGTAACACTCCAGGAACATTATAATCATGATATTAAGTTATAGTGTTGCAGAGTTATGTGAAAATAATTCAAATTTATTAACTTCTATCAAAGCAATTATGTTAATGGATATATACAGGACAGGGAATTCTGATAAACCAACGGAGTATATATATGGAATGATAATTAGTTCTGCTGTTTTGTTAGCAATTTTCAATAATCTAGTATCTTTATACACCTTTATATTATCGAAAAAAATTCGGATAACATCGTTAGGTATCTATTTAATTGTATACTGTATTTTTAGTCTGATGACCATGATTGGTATCGAAATTGATTTAATTAATATTTTATACTTGGATCGTAGAACATCATCGACTGTTTTCAATTTTTATTCATGTAGCCTTTTACCCGTTTTAATTATTTCAATGGCATCTGTATGTCTATGGTTGAGTGCTTGTATAGCTATCGAACGGGTATTAATTGAATCTGGCGTGCTACAATTGTTCAGTTCTCGACAACATTCGATTATTGTTTCAATATTTGTGTTTATCATTGTGAATTTATCTCATATCTATCGAATATTCTATCGTAACATAATCACACATCCATTCTTCAAGAATTTAAAATTATGTAAATTTACTCCCTCGTCATCAATTAAAATACTCGATATTGTCCTTGAAGTGTTACATTTACTTGGTCCCTGTTTAGTTCATCTTCTCTGCACTCTGTGGGTGATATTTCGAATTATAAAACATAAAATAGATCTTCAATATGATACTGAAATAACATCAGGTCACAGGTGGTTAATATGGAAACAACAAATACTGAATCACCGAGATTTTTTCATACCACCAATACTAATTATTAGTTGTATATTGCCACATGTGATCGCATTCCATCTTTTGATAACATATCCAAACACATTGTTTAGAATGCGTCTGAATGTTATACTTAATTTTCTCGTGCACATACCAGAAATATTCACATTCTTTATATATATTTATCCATCTAAATTATATTGGAAACAGTTTTTACACACAAAGATTGGAGAATTATTACGCTGTTACTGCTATTTTTCAAAGCGGAAAACATCAAACAGAAAAGTTAGGATGTGGGTTTAGGTAATTGAAAAAGATAAAGCTATAACCACACTCCACACCCCACCCACACCCACCCACACCCTTCGAGTGCAGGAAAGTGGAGACAGATCCTTAACCTGAAAGTAGATAAGTCATTGGTGACGGATAACAAAACAGCACTAGCTAGATGATTAGGGATGGAATTCATTGTAAGTGTTTTCGTTTTCCTCGATCGGTCGATTTTCATATTCCCACTGTCGCGTATAAATAAGTTGAAGAGTTGTTTCGATTGCGGCTGTCGTCGGATGAGCGTCTCCATAGATCATCAAACTATTTTCAAGAGCTGTGCTTCCATGTTCGATCGCTTCTTCGAAACGCTTTAAACCCAACAGGGCCTCAGCTTTACTATGTTCACATGATACATAAGCAGCGTGATAAGGTTCATGAATCGAATGCTTTAAAATAGAAGAGCATTCATCCAACTTTTTCAGAGCCTCTTTGAAATTCTGTTGCGCGATGTAAATAGTTGCAACATTGTTGTGTGACTTGGCGTAGTCAAGATGCAACGGTGGGAGATTTTTCATGCGTAAACTGCGTGCTTGAAAATAGCTTGTCAATGCATCTTCTAGCTGATTTAGCCTATGCAGAATGGCTCCAATGATGTCGTAGTCTGTGGCGATCTGTTCATAATCAGTCGGAAACTCGTTGAGATGACCTTGCAGAATTTCATGCATGTTAATCAAAGTGGCATTGAGCTCGTTGGGCGTTTTTGAGTTTAAAGCGTCTAAATTGTTATTTGTAACGGCCATATTCTTATATACAGGCAAATGAAATGCGTTGAATAGTGTCAATTACGTATTTTCGTGATGATGTTTCGTCCTGAGAGCGAAAGAGAAACAAGAGACAGAACGCGAACAGAAAAAATAATCAGTTCTTCCCTCCTCATTTATTTCGCCATTTTGCTAGACACGCGTCCTCGAACAAAACTAAACAGTTGCACTACAAAACTGCAGAGAAAGAGGGCGATATTCGTCAACTTTTTCTGGGCTAACCTGAAAAGCTTGTTAGCGCAGCCCGTTTGGGACTAAAATGTGGAACTCATATATTCCCTATCAGTTAGTTCCTCTTTCAGCTGAGGGTTTTAGTTTTTATTGTAATGAACTTTGAAGATTATCAACGATGACAGGAAAATATTTAAAGTTTATTGGATGAAAGTTTTTGGGCTTATCAATCGTAAATAGTAGTACAGAGAACATATTAGAAATTTTAAGTTAAGGATGTACGATGTAGTCAAGATGTTGTTCGCTTAACTGACAAATCTTAAGAATAATTTTGTTTTGAATGAAATTTATGTTGTGGCTATTTATATTGTTGATTTTCTAAATAGTGTATAGAATAGTAAAGCATTTTAAAAACTATTTTAATATGGCTGCAAAAACTTGTATACGTCTATGAATAAATTTTTGAGGAAAAGTTTTAGTTTGAATGGAAGAACTGGAAACGTTCAACAGACTCGAAACGGTTCCGACTTTGAATGGGCATTTTAATAGTAAGAAAAGTTTGAAAAGCTTATTTTTTCTTTTCATCTATACGACAATTATATGAAGGTATTAAGTTAAACTTAAGCTGAGATAGTTCAAATTGTTCTAATAATCACAATAGTGATAATTCAAATAAAACAATCAGATTTTTCATAGAAATGATCGACAAAAAGAAAACTACTGATTTGATAATGTAGAATTGTAAAATATAATCATATAATGATTTATTTTCAAGATATCATTATTTATGGCAGTGATATTTTTGTTACGTTGTGGTTATACTGCACTCTAATGATTTTAGTCTAGATTATTTCCTAGTAGATTATGAACGTGTTCTTTGTGTTGGAAAGTACTCATTCGATTTAACAACATTCGTAATTAGAAAGGGACAAAATTTCTAGTGGTTTCTGTTGTGAAACACCTTATGAAAATTAGGATAAGGGTGTGCGGATGGGTGTGGGTGTTAGCAGGTATAAATGAAGGAAACTCTTACCCATACCCGCACCCACACCCCGTTATGCTTATTAACGTTTTCGAATTCTCTTTCAATGTTTTTTTTCCCAAAGTTACTATTTTTTTCCATGTTTTGTTTTCTATACGTTTTTTAATTATGTATTTATTTTCATGAAATAAAATAACAAAAATTTCCAAGCGTTTTTTAAATACTTGGTGAACGCTCTGTATACTGAAAACATGTTAAGCATGTCTGTGTAACTCTACAAGCTGCAAAATGCACTGTTTATGAGATTACCAAGGGCATAAATACAAGCAATGCGCTCACAAAAAAAAATTGGGTTTTTTTTCATGTTTTTCTATGTAACGCTTTTTTCCCCATGCGTTTTATCTGCATGTTTCTTGTTTTTCTCTTTTTAGTTAACGCTTTGTTTTTCATCGTAAAGATATTATTACATAATTTATAGTAATTAATTCCTTGTTTAGCCCATTGTTTATAAAAATATGATGCTAATTTTTGTTGAAAATTTTGATAATTTTTATTTTTTAAACTAGTCCAACCAACTTCAGCATAGGCAGCGACTCGTGGAAATATTTGTTGATTCATTTTATCAACTGTTGGTATCCATTCACCCCACATTTGACAACCTAAACCTAATATTTTTGAATGATATTCTTCTAGTAAGTTTTCAGGAATTGGATCAAAATTATAAGCTTTTTCTAATGAAATTCGATTGTAATTATAATCCAAGTAAGTATATTTATTATTAGAGTTAACAACATCATAACCCTGGAAAATTGTTTTATTCAACAAATCTAGACTACCTTTCCAAAAGTGAACAACTGTATTTTGAGCTAATTTTTCTTTTGTTAAAATATCTAATTCAGTTGTATAATGATGCCATTTACTACCACCCATTATTTCATTCCAACCCATCATACGACGATGTTTTCCATTTATAAAATTTGATATTTTATTAGTAAACTATATTTGTAAATCGGCTGGTGATTGTAAATTATGTTCGTTAATAAATGTTGTGATTTCTGTTGATGATTTCCATTGATCATATTTGACTTCATCACCACCAATATGAATAACATCTGATGTTGAAAACAAATCAATAACTTCTTCTAATACATTTTCAAGAAATTCCATTGTTTGTGGATTAGCTACATTAAACACCGAATAATGAACATCAAACTTACCTACATAAAAATTAAATGAGAAAAACATAGAATTCGTTGGATAAATAGAGCAGAAGTTTTTCTGGTAAGTCAAACTCTAAAAATGTCTCCGTCAGATAAGTCTAAGTTCACATTTTTCTTTATGAAATATCAAAAATTCATATGCATCTAATTTTTGTTGTAAAATGGAACTAGAAATTAGATAAATTTTTGGGACGAAATTTACCACCCATCATTTTCATTTTAATGGTAATTAGGTCTAGTCCAAGTCTACAACTACTTGTTCATAAACTGTAGTGAAGTGTATAGATATAATGACTATAAAAATATGAGATGAGACATTTGATCAAAATGTTTTGCAATGTTTTCTGTTTTTTTTAATATTTTGATCAAACAAATACCTCATTTGATTTCATTTCTAAAGTCTTTATATCTTTGTACACTTTAAATGTTCGCGTGTAGACACTACTAGACTTGACCTATATATATTATTAAAATCAAAATGATTAGTGATCAGTTTAGAGAGAAAAATTCATTTTACTTCTAAAGACTATATTATTAATTAGTCATTTTTATATGTTCCAGTTTTACAAAAGTCTCTAGCATTATATTTCTTGTCATATTTCATGCAGCCAATATGGAATAATGGGCACTTGCTTCTATGTACAACATTTCATGAAAATATGAGCAACTATAAGAATATTAAAATTCATAGATTTTTAATTCCATTCTATATCACTTTCAGTCCATCTCAGACATCCATAATCCTGCCATCACTATGAATACTTCGGAATGATTATAAAGACTCAGATTCTATTCTGCAAAGCGGTAACGAAAGAAAGAAGAATGAGAAAAGACAAAGAAAAACCTGCGGTTAACGACTCTCAGCAACAGAGACGTAGCAAACATACCAGAGTAGGGAGGGTCGTCCTATCAAAACAATTTTTCGTTTTTTCGAAACAGTTCTGTTTTTGAAGAATGAGAGACAGACAATGACTTTTCTGAAATCAAGGGGGGACCACATTGATGTTCATATGTCTCAGTCACCATTCATTCTATAGTTTGTCTTCCGCATCCTGACATACAATGAAGCTGTGTGCGCCGCATATGTACTTAGGAGTAGATGTTGGAATAGCAACCCTAGTCGACTCTTCCCTTAGAGTCTCCGAGAACTCCCTGCGAAAATCCCTATGTTGTAGGAAGTGGAAGAAAATTAAAAACTCCCTGGGGAGTTTTTTTCTGTTGACTTTTTTCCACAAAGTGCATAAACATTTAAAATTTATACTAAACTACATCTGGTCAGATGTAGCTAAATAATTGGTTCTAGAAACGTCCGACTGGTACAACGAAAAAAAGAGGAGTCAAAGAAAAAATAGTCGACTTTTTTTGTTCTAAGCTAGAGAAGCATAAAAAAATGAAACTTGCTTCGGAAGACGAAATATGTACGAATTATCAATTCAAGTTTTACTATTTAAAAGCACTATTCTTTTTTTTATAAGACGAACATCCATTTGGTTATTCATTTTTCTTTATAAGCTGCTTTTTACCAAAGTCGGCAAAAAGCAACTTGATTTGAGTTCATGACCTATTTCAGTGATATTGTCACTGGAATTTTCTTTCCAAGCATCTCAGATGATGTGTGACAGATCGATAGATAGGTAGGTAGATGAATAGATCTGTTCATCTACCTATCTATCTATCTGCCTATCTATTTACCTACCTACCTATCAAATACCATGTACTACATTTTTGATTAAGAAGCCACTCCCTTGACAATTCCCGGGGACTTCCTGTAAACTTCCTCGCAAATCTCTGGGGACTCCTGTCGAGAATCCTCGGGGAGTTTTATAAGGGATTCCTCGGGGATTCGCTAAGAGAGAGTCGACTAGGGGAACAATCTAGCTAGAAGAGCCTTGAATCAGACTACTCTCATACTGATCAGAGTTGCAGCTTCGTCGATGATCAGTAACAGGATGCATAATCACTTGTGAAGATCATTTGGTTCAAGAAAGATATGAGCTTTCGAGAAATACATATATAGGCGCGTCTTTACCATATACTGAAAAGGGTGTGCGTTTGGGATGTGGGTGTGGGTGGGGTGTGGGTGTGGGTGTGGGTGGTGTGAATGTGGGTGTGGATGTGGGTGGGTGTGGGTGTGGGTGTGGGTGTGCGTGTGGATGTGGATGTAAATCTTTTATCTAACTACACCCACACCCAGCAGCGATAGATAGAAGTATAGCAGTGATATTCTAATTTTGGAATTAGACGGAATTGGTAGGAATTCCATGCAATTCCGTCTAATGCCGCTTCGACTCAATTGGGGAATTCCGTGCCGGCATTGGATGGAATGAACAGCAGTGATAGACAGAAGTAGACGAGGGATATTCTGATTCCGGAATGAGACGGAATTGGTAGAAATTCCGTGCAATTCCGCCTAATTCCGCTTCGACCAAATTCCGGAATTCCGTGCCGGAATTCGGTGATATGAACAGCAGTGAATGATAGAGGTATAGCAGGGATATTCTAATTCCGGAATTAGACGTAACTGGCGGGAATCCTGTGTAATTCCGTCCAATGTCGTCTAATTCCGGTTCGACCCAGTTCCGGATTTCCGTGCCGGAATTCGGTCATATGAACATGAATGATAGATAGAAGTGTAGCAGTGATATTCTAATTACGGAATTAGACGGAATTGCTAGGGATTGCCAGAAAATCCGCGGAATGGCGTTTTGTGTTGTGGTATTGTAGGGAATTTCGATTCCGGAGTTGGACGGAATTGCTAGGAATTGTTACTTAATTCAGTGACCGGAATTCCGGAATTTCCAGATATTGCTAGGAATTGTTACTCAATTCAGTGACCGGAATTCCGGAATTTCCAGATATTGCTAGGAATTGGGTTCCCAATGAATTGCGGGAATTCGGGAATTGGTAGAAGGGATTTCGGTATTGGTAGGAATTCGTAGGAATTGCTATTTCAATGGATTCCGGGAATTCCGGAATTGATAGAATTGATTCCGGAGCGAAACTGATTCCCGCAATGTTCAACATCGCGGAATAGGATGACTGCTCGAAAAACCACGAAAATTTCTCAAAAAATATGATGGTAGAATCAAAGGTTGATGTAGTAACTCTTTGAAAATCTGATCATTTTCCAAAAAGCCATAGATATTCTGAAAGAGGATGCTTCACTGCATCTTCCTTTGATAAAGACTAAACTTCGATATCTCTTTGAAAAATTGCATTTCCTAAGGCGGGAGTCCTTAACTTAGGTTTACGGAAATGAATAATTGAAAAAAGTAATATTCGTATTTAAAGTAATGGTATCAACCTGTTGATTGCTCGTATCTCAAAAACAATCTCATATTTCTTTAAGGGCCCCCCCCTCAGAAAAGTCAATTTTCGTCAAAAGCAAAGATTTTTTAGATAAGCTTACAGACATATCGGCCAAGGTGTCTACTGTCAATATTCATAAAAAAAGTTTCAACTTTGAAAGATTCCGACAGATATATTAAAACTTTCTCAAGTGCCCTCTGTAATATTCATATGCGAATTTAAGCAAAAACCAAAGAAAAACTGTCGACTATTCCATTCACTGTCAACTGTAAGTGTCAGCAGTAGCGTAGTTCTATGCACTTTGATTAATTCTAGCAGTTAATATATGATATGACCATGCTTTGTGTTGATCTCGCACTATAGATAGATATTGTGCAAAAAAAATGTTTTTAGGTTTTTCTCAGAACCAGTTTTTGATGTAATGATCAAACGTAGAACAAATTTTTCTCCACTATACTTCGCTCTAGAGAGCTGCGATTTTTTTTGATTGATAGATACATACATAGTCCTTCGGATGAGGGGAATGGATTTTTTAAATACTCGTCAATGGTAGAGAAACTCTCAGTTTTCTAGAAAACCATACCTTAGATTTTCAGATTTTTGAGATTTCGATGATCCAAAACATGAAATAAAGCGAAATTAAAAAAAACCCTTTCCCTCATCCGAAGCAGCAAGGATTTATCTTTCAAATAAAACCAACCCGATCTCTGCAGCATGTACTATAGTGACGAAATCTTTGTTCGCCTGAGAGCCCTGTTTTTCAGCTTGATACCCTGATATCTCCTGAACGGTAAGGGATAGAGGTGTGAAATTTTTTTTGGTAATGTACTTTCATGAGCCCAACATCCATGCAAAGTTTCATCAATATCCCATGTACCCTGTCGAAGTCCCATTTTTGAGGGGGGGGGGGCCCTTAAAGGCACTTTATCTTCTGTAAAGCCTTTGTTTGCTAAGAAAAATAAATTAGTGAGGCGTTAGAATCATATCGATTTTCTATTGATTGAAAGATTATTTTGTATGCATCTTAACTTTCCGCGAATGCAATAAAAGATGAATCTATTTATTAGATATAAATATGGGTATCGATACTATTCTGTTTCGTTTCAATACAAGCTATGATCTCGATAACAACTCGTTTTTTCGTACTTGTTCTATTCAGGTAATTGTAAAACTTATTTACTTGGATATTTAATGTTGAACAATCTTTCTTTTCAGCCTCACAGGTTTGACTTCCTTGTTTCATTTTAAACATTCTGCTATTAATTATGTATATTGTTAGCATGCGTGAAATCTCAACTATGCCATGGGTTAGCCCAGTATAGTCGATGTTCATCAAATCCTTCCTGTGCCTGTTTTCATATGGCAGGTGCTGCTAATGTCGGCTTGTGTGGCTTTCAATATATGACTTGCTCTAAGCTAGTTCCTTGCGAACCATCTAATTATTATTGCAACGAACCAGACCATGCCTGTGTTTATCATCCTCGATGTCGTAATCTTCCTGTTTGTTATCCAATATCAATGATTGATGAAGCAACATGTCCACCAATAACAAGTAAGAAGAAGAAACAGTCATCGACAAGTTTAAGTGGAGCTAAAATCTATCTTAAAGATATTTCTTCGTTTTTCACCTATCCTCACATCTGCAGCTCATAGAAATGTGACAACGATGATAAAAACTTAATGAGGCATTGAAAACAACTAGATAAAGTATAACAGAAACCAAATGACTGTTAAGTAATGAAGAACAGGTTTCTTCTCTTCTTATTCACTACATTTGAGTTCCAAAATAATTCGATTTGATGCTGATCGACTATGTATATCATATCAAATGTTTTAATTTTTGGGAGTATTAAATTCATTCGACTACTCTTTTACTAAACGATACTTAGAATATTGATCTTGTATCGTAATGGTATCCAATGCACCTAAGCTATTGCTTGTATTAGAAAATATAATAGAACCAATCATTTTGATCAGTACAAGTAATATAAAGGAGACAAATATTTCATATGATGCTCTAAAAAAACAATGTCTTTATTATTGTACAGATTACTACTCTATTCTCACGACTTTTTCCAATCAACACAGCAGACATGATGAGTCTAACCAAACTTTCTGGATTGAACTCAGACGAGTTGCATAAGATCGAATCTTCGAAACTATGACTTTCATTTAATCTCTAATGACTACCGAAATTTTTCATCCGAAATTAGTTTTTGAAAAGAAAAAATCACTTTGCAAACTACCGGATGTCATTTTTCTATTCTAAAACTTTCTCTAGTCTTCATCTAAATCTAAAACACACCAAGTAAATTAACATTTTGTGTCAGGCATAAAACTATCTGCTTTGTTTACATAAATGTTTTATATTAATGAATAGCAACGAATATTACAACTACAACTACGATTCCAACTACAACTACAAGTAAAGCCAATGTTTCACAGCCAGGTAAGCCCTAGATAAGGACTTGTTGATCTTGTTAGATACTACTTTTGAACCAAAATATAGATTGTTTCTGTATATCCCGTAATGCTCTATGTCTAACTTGGACCTAAATGGATAAGATTCATGAGGCAAAATGAAACAATAATAATTCCTATATTAATTTTCTTTTGATCACTATGAGAGCCGTCTTTATTTTACTTGCTTCTATATAATTCAATCCATTCTTTCTCTTCCTTTGATAGTACTACAGATACTGTCTGCTAACATAAAATAGTTTCATTCACAACTTTCCTCACGAAGATCGAAGATAACTACTCTTCAGTTTCTTAGAAAGAATAAGAGTACATCATGTAGGCAGAATTCATTAAAAACAAATAATTCATCGAAATACGTTAAAAAATATTCTAATGTGCATGCAATGGAAAATTCCATGTAGATAGCACAAACATATTTTGTATATACTGGAACTCTTTAAAATATATTCTTTGTTTTTGTTATTTTTTGAAGATATAAAAATGGATGCACATTTAAAACAATATATACAACTAACATCTAGGATTTATTGTTTTCAGTTTCCATCTTTCTTCACAAAGTACATGAATAGAAAACATTTCAAATTATTTCGATGAAATCTGTTCTCCACTATTTTGTATTCTGAGTGAACAAAATACTAATGATTGAATTAAGACCTTTTTTTCAGGTAGCTAAACTAAAAATAGAAAAAAATTCAAATATTGATATTGTTCACCTAATTTATAAAACAAATCAGTGAAACAATTAGTTTTTGTCAATCCATTACATATACTGTTTTTGTGAAACAAGATCTGAAAGGAGTGTTGAAGTGTTTAGGGGTAGAAATTTGCAACCCCCCCCCCCCTCCCCCACACAGACCGTGACAGACACCCTCTAGAAACCGTCACAGACCGTGACAGACATCGTAATTGATTAATTAATTATTATGTAATTAACTAATTACCCATCACAGACCGTGACAGACAGGGCTCTGGATCCATCACAGACTGTGACAGACAGGCTTTGGACCCATCACAGACCGTGACAGACAGAGCTCAGGGATCATCATAGACGGTGATAGAAGACTTCACGAAAATTTTAGAGTTGATGCATAACTAACATATGATTGAAGCATATATGGAATATTATCCTGTTGAAAGTCAATAATGTAAGGTAAACCATTATGAAGAAATGTACATCAGTATGCATAGAAAACAACATCTATTAGGGCATCGGCTATAGCAGCTACATCGTGTTTCACATTTTTAATTCCGCAAGGGATTGCACTAACAGCTTTCTAGAGTGTGTCAAATATCCTTTAAATCTTAAGAAAACTAATGAACTCCCTAAAATTGAATTTGAATTGCAATAAACTAGCTACACATCGAGAATCTTACTCGTAAAATAAAAGAGAGTTCGCAGTCGTATAAAACTTGTTTCAATTTGAAATTGCACAATTCCATCAGAAATCAATTAGGTCTGGTAAAGACATTTTAACCAGCTAATATTCCAACAATGAGAAAAAGTATGATTCCTCAATATTCTTATACGTTTTCCTGAGTTCAAACTGATTTCAGTAAATTAGCAAAGAAATATTGACCACAAATTATGTTTTTATAAACAGCTCGTTTAAATTGTCTTGGAAAAAATAAATATTATCGATAATGACTAATTAACAATAAAACTATAGTAGACTAAGGGTGTGAGTGTTTTCTTCACATGCAATATAGAATCGTTTAATTTTTAACGCAATTCCGATATTCTCTTGATTTCGATAAAATCTTTCTCAAAATCGAAATTCTATAAAGATCTATGAAGATTAATGGTTAGGAACTGATTTTCGACTTATGCTGTTCTACGCGTCATAAGATCTTCGCAGATTTTTCCCAAAACTTTGTTTTTATGACCCCTAATGGAATCTAAGTGTAGAAGTGATTAATTCTGATCGTAAGAAATTTGGGATTTATTGTTAGAGATTTTAAAATCATTTAAACAAATTAGAAGGTGTAAGTATGGTTGAAAAGAAGACTAACATCCACACTCATATCCTTGTGAGTCCTTTTAAGGACACTATTTAGTTCCAAATTTTAACAATATTGATGTCCATCAACGAATAATATACAAAATCATCACCCGTTTTCTTCCTTCTGTTCTATTGACAGCTACAATTGTAGGTAGCTTACGAAGGAGAATGGGTTTTCACCAATCAATAATACTGATTTCCATATGCTTCGTAAGGCTCGAAGAATCAATAACTGAAAATGTTAATAAGTTAAAACAAGATGATCTACTCATTCATAACGAAGATAAACTAACTTTTCAATGTAACAATTGAATAAAAATTCTGAATGATAAGCCCACCACTTGTACAGTAATATCAGAGAGCAGAAGGCACTACGAAAACAAACAAAATTGTTCTTAATTCATTTTAAGTAAATCTGATTTACAAAAAGAGCTTTCTACTATTTTGAAGCTATTAAATATGTTGTCAATGTCAAATCAATTCATAGTCAACCCTGCATTATTATATTATGTCTCTCAGAACTAACGCACTAGAAATTCTTCAACAGCAGTTTATTCAGTATGAGTACTTCTTTTAAAATATTGAACCTGCACTCTCAGCAGAAAGAAACTGCTACTGTTTTTCCGTTCTCCAAGTAGAAATCTCAAGCAATACCTTGAGCATTATGCAAATACTTAGGGGTACCCAAAAGTAGTGGCGGTCGCATCTCAATTTCGTATAGAAGGCTTGATGAAATTTTCTGTTTTTATGAGGTGATAGAGAAAATGAAGCTCTATTTTTCTGTGCTATTTCATCCCTATTCAGCTGGTATCATAATAATGAAATTTCGATAA